TTTAGGAGTTACCTGCCTCTGTTTTCTCTGTGAACTGTCCCTTCTTGTTATGGAGCTGACTGCTGACAGGCATCCGCTGCCATGCCTCACCGGTGCCATTCCCCTATCACTGTCAGTCGCACCGAATCTCCCTAAGTAATTTGGAGATTCTTAAAAAAAGAATAGGGGTAGATTTAAACCTCAATCCACTGCCACACCATGACAAAGAGAGAATGTATACATTGGTTTGAAGACGCCAGATCTGCTGGAGCAAACAGGACAACGCGTCCATCCGGTGGAGACTGGCAGCAGGGATGCCATGGCCTTCAGAATAGGATGTGGCCCATGGGCCATGGAGAGGAGGGCAGGAGGCACTGGTCAGGAAGATGGCTTTGGGATAGGTGGGGTCGCCGCTAGGCGAGGAGCACTGAGGAGAGTGGTGGCTGGCATAGGTGGAGTGAACGGTGTACCGGTGAGGCCACGTACTACAGAGAGGAGGAGCTGCAGATGGAGATGGTGCCAGGGCCTCCAAGCATAACGCCACCAACCGATGCATGAGGATCGGCATGGCAGGCTGTATCCCTCGGAGCGCATCCCTCCCTTTGGTAGACGAGGGTTGGGCACAGCAGCCTGATCTGCCACCATGCCCTCGGCACAGGTCAACGAGGCCCGCAGAGGGTCAGATTTGACACCATCGGCATGGCCTGTAGGAGTAGGACCTCCACTCGTGCGCATATGGGGCCCTTGGCTTTGAACGCCGCGGGTGCTCCACCAGCTCAGACTGCACGCCAAAGCACCGCTGCCACGTCCCCCAAAGCATGATAAGCTGTAGAAGTCAAACAGAACTATGAGAAGCTGCTCCTGATGTAAGCGGCTCCATGCAATAGTAGCCGTAGGTGGGCGCTAATTGGGATGACGTGAAGCCCTCCACTGGCCAAGAAGCCGTGCTGCTCTCTTGTTTTACCATTTGCAGAGCCAAACTATGAACTGGTTGGCAAATCTATCTCTGGACCTAAGTTTCATCAACTGCTCTGAGTATAGTGTTAGTTGGCACTTTAACTTATTTCTTTTAGTCTTCTCAATTCTTACTATAGTGTTCTACATGCTTGTACAGTATTTGGGTTTGTCTAAAGGTATCACTAGATTAAACTAACGTGTCCTGTTTTTTTTTTTAATGAAGGACTTATTCTCTGTTCAACCAACTGGGAGAATCCTTTCTTGTTTTATTGTTTCTTTTGACATAATGAGTTCAAGTGATTAAATTACTAATACACCTTTCTTTCTTGTAAACAGCTTGATCAAATAGTGGTTGAAAATGTTCTGTCATTCGACGCTGGTTTCTGGGTTCGGCTAGCAGCTAGAATTGACCTCTGCAAATCAGATGATGATAAAGCATGGTTTCACATATATAGACAATTTTGCTTCCTATGGATGTTATTATCTTCTACCTCAGTTAATTTAACTGTGATTGGTTTCTCTGTTTTGCGTTCTCAGAAAGATTATGAAGAGCTGGCAGAAAATGTCATGAACATTGTTGACCGGCTTGTTCACAAGACTGATGTAAGAACCATGTTCCATCATGCATAAGTATAGTACCTCTGCCTATGTCCTCATAAGCGATGAAAACGTTTGTATTTCTTTTGTGATTACTGATTACTGATATTGTTCCATTTGCTAATTTTACCCTTATGTTATGCAGCAAAAGATTGAACAATCAACAGATGTGCTGAAGGCAATCATTAGTCCTGTGATGCATGAGGGAGATGTGCAGTGGCCACCAAGAGGTCCAGACACTCTCAAATTGATGGAGAAAGTATGGTCACATCTCTACCTGTTGTTCTAAATGCTTTTTACATCCTTTACTTGCATTTTGTCATGGTCTTTGCATTTGCACTGCCTATAAAACTGAACTTTCTTACACTGACATCTGCAGTAATTAACAAATTTGTGGTGAAAATGTACTTGTCAGGGCAAATATCCAACATTTCTTCTTCAGCAATTTCTTTCAAATTATGATTTGCATGTGCCTATTGTTGCTGTTGTCTGTACTCTGCAACCAACTTTTCTTTTGGGCTTCAGAGATTCGGTTGATTATATGTAATTTTCTGTGTCACATACCAACTGAGCACTAACTTCTGACATTCCCAGGAAATAACACACCGAGAACAAGAAGGACAGCTTGATGAGGGATTTCTGTCAGAAGTTAGTGCTCAGTTGAGGCAAGTAAGTGTTAGTTTCTGCTTTTTATGCTAGAAAGTTGTTTATTTTTATTCCAACTTATATTAGATTTTAGTTTTTTCATGTGATTAGTATATGTTACATGTGTTTAGGCTAAACAAGATGGAGATAAGCCTGGGCTTCAAGCTATGCTGCAAAAAGTGTTGCAGTTATATGCTTCCAAATCTCTGCAAAAACGTAGTTATGCGTACAAAGGTAGTCTTCCTTCATGCATTACTTTTAGGCTGTTCGACCTGAGATGTTGAGACAGGACTACTCTTTCATTTTGTTCATGAGCACCTTCCATTTTTCAGGGGGGCAAGTTGTAGTTCCCGAAAAGTTCCTTGAATGCGTAATACAGGGTCTGTAATTCCACGCAGCTGACTCTCTCTCTCTCTCTCTCTCTCTCTGCATCTACTAGTCATCATATCTGATCAATGGAGATTATGCAATGCAGCACCTGAGAACGAGTGGAACAAGGTGTTGCTTGACGGGCTTACAGTAGGAAAAGGAGACGTTTCACCAGATGATCTTTATGCCGTTATTAACAAGAGAATTGAGAGAGTCTTGATCCGTACGGTGAGAACCACAAACATCTGGATTCTACAGGGAGCAGAGGGACTTGTCTTGAGCATCTTTTCACACTGATATACGTTCTTCCTTTCTCTTTCTGTTCTACAGGAAGGTGGTTCTTACCAGCAACGCATACTGGTTGAGTATCTAAAAGAGATACAGGCTAGAGCAGAGGAAGTTGTCAAAGTGCTTCAAGGACCAACAATATAAAGTCTGCTGATCCTGTTTACACTAAATACATGTTTTCCCGCTTGCGCGTAGTCTGATGGACCAATGGCTTAATTTTGTTGAAGTTGTTTGGCAGAGAACTGGGGGGAGGTACGTTTGCCCATTTGGCAGAGAACGCAGACGCTTTGTCCTCTATTCTCTGCGTGTTAAACAGCTTTCATCTTTTCAGTTTCAGATACGCCTGATGCTGGACCTGATCACACAAAGAGAGCACAGGGATTGGAGAGAATAGATAAGCCAGGAGAAGCACGCATTTACAGCAAATCGCCCTTGCTTATTCGCGTGATTGCCCATTTTTCTTTTCCTAAGCTAGTAGCTTTCATCCCGAAGGCCTGGCTGGTTTAGCTGTTGGGATAATGAGATTTTCTGGTTTCGTCTGACTGAAAACTGTAATATGCTACGTACGTCTATACATACAGAACTACAGATGGAGAAGTAAAAATTCTGATATCCAAGTTTGCGAAAGCGACGCAACCGGACGTCCGGCCCCGCGCGCGTCCGGACGCCGGTCCCGCACAGGACCCCGCCCCGCCCCCTCCACACGGAACCATGCCCGCCCACCCGCACGTAACAGAATGGAAAACGGAACCCGCGCTTCCTCTCCCCCCCACGCGCTTGTCTCCCGTTCCTCAACGCACCCAGTTTCTCTACCGCGCCCGTGTCTAAAAAAAGCATATAATACTTCTACTGCAACATTGCAAAAACATATGTAAAAACTATGAAAAAACTATATAGTGCAACAACTGGTTGTAAATACTGCAACATTAAAAAATATGTAGTGCAACATTAAAAAAGCATGCACGTAACATTCGAAAAATATCTACTGCAACAACTAAAAAAAATAAGTACCGCAACATAAAAAAATATGTACTGCAATATTGAAAAACATGTACTACAACATCGAAAAAACATTTGCTGCAACATCGAAAAAATATGTGTTGCAACATTGAAAATTATGTGCTGCAGCATCGAAAATTATGTATTGCAACATCTCAAGCAGTAGTACTGCAACATCGCAAAAACATCTGTTGCAATGAACGAGAAATCCCATTGCAACATTCGAAAATCGTCTGTTGCAACATCCCAAAACACCATTGCAACACGGGGAGGAGAGAATAGAGATCCAGAGCTCGTCGGAACCCTAGCCACTGTCGTGTCCCTCAGATCCAGATCCAGAGGAGGAGGAAGGGAAGCGCTTAGATCCAGAGGAGGAGCAGGAGGATGGCTTAGATCCAGAGAAGGACCACCTAACTCGTCGGAGCCGCCGCCGTTCGTCCTCGTCTTCGGTGGGGGCATGGGAGTTGGGTCGCTGGGCAGCGCGAAGTCACATGGAGCTCGCAGAGGGAGGGAGGGAATGAGGGGAGGAAGGGAGGGAGCACCAGCGGCCAGCGGGCGCGACAACGAGGTGGCGTGCGGTGTTTCCCAGTGAGCACGCGTCACGCGACAGCAGAATGGAGAGGGTGACACGAGCGCTGCGGGACTCGGGAGTGAGTGGTTGAGAGGATAAGGATCAGGAGCGGCGTGCGGCAGGTTGGTTCGACGCAGGTGCGACCAGGGCGTGCAACGGGTTGGTTCGGCGTGAGTGCGTCCGGTTCCGTCCGGACGTCCGCCGTACTCCGTATATCATTATCGTTGGGAAAGTGGAACTCTTGGTGGCTCTCCCTCCGTTTGTGTGGTGTGGCAGATGTTGATTCGGCACACGCAGAAAGGAAACTAACCCAGCGAGCGAGCGAGCGTAGACGGACCAGCCCATCAACCAAGATCGACGTGTCGTTTGTCAATTTGTTCGTCCGCGCTGGCTTGTGGCACTTGGACTCTTTCAAACTGCGTCCCAATCACGCAGCCTCCTCCGCGTCCCTTCTCCCTTTCGACGAGCGGGAGGCTGTATGCTGGGCGCCGTCGTCCGTGTCCCGGCCCCGATCCTGCTGCCTCTCCTGCCCGGGCCGACGCGCCCTCTCCTCCTCCGCCGCCGCCGCCGCCAGTGCCTCCCGCCCGAGGCGCCCATGGCCTCGGCCACCCCTCGCGACGGCAGCACCGCGAAGCCCGACGCCGCTCCCGCTCCCGCTCCCACGCCCGCGCCAACGCCGCTGCCGCTGCCGCCGGAGAAGCCTCTCCCGGGCGACTGCTGCGGCAGTGGCTGTGTCCGCTGCGTCTGGGACATATATTTCGACGAGCTCGACGCATACGACAAGGCCCTCGCCGCCCACGCGGCCTCCTCCTCAGGCTCCGGCGGCAAGGACGACTCCGCCGATACCAAGCCCAGCGACGGCGCCAAGTCCTGAAGCGCATCTCTCATGTGTAATCACCTCTTCTGTTCCCAACTGAATTAGATTGATTGCTGGCCGTCTCACCACTCACCAGATTCACATACGCCGCCACCAATTCTTAACACCGAGACATTAGGGCATCTCTAGCGGTGAGTGGATGCATCTAAGAAAAAGGACGGCCACGTCAGTTTTGGATGAGTCGATTTCTTAGCTAAGTGGGTCCTACGCATAAATAAACAAAACTATTACAACTGTTAAACAGTTTCCTACTTGCTTTTGTCCGGCGCTCTCTCACAAGTAGTCATCAGCCGTTTGTGCTTCTTTATTTTAATCTTTTTGACCGGCGATGAATCGACTCACGCAGGTGAATCGGTTCAATCTCTCTCATCGGATGAGTCGATTGCTCCAGTGGCATGAGTCGACTCAGGGCCTGCCACCTCAGCCCATGAGTCGCTTTTCAGAAGCCCACCGGAGAAGCCCTTACAATATCATTGTGCCTGCTGTGGTAGGCATGTGCTAGATTGAGATGCTTTGTCAGTTCACCCTCGCTGTTGTATAAGAAGAGAAAGTTATGTTATATTACAAACAAATGAGATGCTTCTGTCATTTTGTTCATTCATCACTGTTGTATAAGAAATCATAGATAATTAGGTTTAAAAGATTTCTCTGTGAGAATTAGTTTTAGCATTTATATTCATTCATCTTAATCAGTAATCTTAATTTTAAAATTTTGACAAGGAAATCAGTAATCGAATTCTAGACGAGGAACCCCAACCAATCACCAATGCCATTAGAATCGGGAGAAATTAGCAGGTTACATCTTGTCTGTCTCACCATCACCGGTGGTGAGCGAAAGGTAATACACACTGACACACACACTAGCTCATGAATTGACGTAGAACTTACTGATCATCGTCCGAACCACCAGAGGGATCCTCACCGTGTGCACGCCATCCTCCCATGTCAGGCTGCCAAAGTTGTATCTCCCTTGCACCTTCAGTTTGGCCTGGAATGTCACTTTGAACGTCAACCTTCTCAAAGTCGAGTTGAAGGTCAGGAGTGAAGGGCTCACGGTGACGTCCACCCCTGGAGGAGCTTCCACACGAGCTCTGTACTTCGACAAGGCTGAGCCGACGTTGGTGACTGTTCTTGACACAGTAAGCCTGCCCCTCAGTTCGGGAATAGTGATGGCTGGCAGGTTCAGGTTCAGCTGTGTCTTTGGTGTGTGCTGACAGGTCTCATGCTGTTGAGTCATGGAGCTGATGGCCGAGGTGTTGTAGCCCATGGAGCAAAGGAAGCGCACATAGTCGGATGTCCCCATGTCATACACAAGACCGGGGTATGCAGCCCTGTTTGGATCCACATGACCACCTCCGTAATCGAATGGGGTCGCCTGATTGTAGGGTGCCGCCTCAGATACAATTTCAAACCCATATGTGTCATGGACATTGGCTGCAAATGTGTTGACTTGTTAGGCTCAAAACTTCTTTGATTAGAGAAGCAGATGACGAATTACCTGTTGTGACAAGTGCTGATTTTACTGCAGCAGGACTCCAATTAGGATGCATTGATTTGAGGAGAGCAACAACTCCTGAAATGTGTGGGCAGGACATCGAGGTTCCTGAATCAATCTTGAAGTTCACAGATCCAATGGCTGATGATATGGCAGCAGCAGGAGTCCATGCGGCCAAAATGTTGACACCTGGAGCAGCGATGTCTGGCTGCAGAAGAAGGTGCAGGGTTTTTTCAGCCAACAAGAACAGGTACTAATGTAGAAGTTTGGTCAACTGTTGAACTGGAGGAGATCTTTTACCTTCAGAACAGAGGGGGACAGAGAACTTGGACCCCGAGAAGAGAAATATGCAACTTCTGGGCCAATCAGTTCTCCAAGAATTGTTTTTGCTGAGCCAAACAGAACTGTTGGGTTTCTGTGTATGGAAAATAGAAATTATTGGAAAGTTGCCAACAGCAATAGCATATTCCAACTGTTTGCATGTGCAGCACTGTTTGCATACCTCATGCTAGTAGTGTATGCGAGTATAGCTGTTCCAACTTGATAGTCTACTTGAACACTGGGAATATCGAAAGAAGATGCAATGTCCTTAGTTAAGAACTGGGCAAAGATAACTCCAACGCCACGAGCTTTCTTGACAGTCTCCACTGCCACTGAAGCTGATCTCTGTGCCCTTGTTTGGAAGCAAAGCACCACATTTCCCTTCACTAGAGTAGAATTCAAAGATCCTGCAGTGCAGCTTCTGCAAAGACATCAGCCAATACGGAAGTCGAACTAAAGGTTTGATCAGAAGAGATTGAGGACGACAAAGTTTACCTTGCATCTGTATCGTCTGCATTATTAGAAGCAATGTCTTCAGCATAGACTATGCGCATGCTTTTTCCAGGATGCTTTCCAGAGTACAGTGTTTGACCCTGCACCATCAGACATCAGAATGTGAGCACAAATATTTGCATATGAGCCTGCATTACAACCCAAAACTTCAGATGAATGAAACTCTTACCACATAGGTGCTATTGTTGCCTAGGGTGACCTTTGCGAGGAAAGTCCTATCAATGGTGCCAGCAGCAACGGTCACAATCCATGGCGCCGAGTTGATGACCGTCTCTGAATAAGGCCCAGAATTTCCTGCAGAGCAGACCACAACAATCCCTCTCGCGACAGCATGGAAGGATCCAATGGACAGGACGTCATCAACATAAGCAGGGAGTGGTGGTGCTTGGCCTAGTGACACTGAAAGCACATCGACACCGTCATGTATGGCATCGTCAAAAGCCGCAAGGATATCTGCAGAAGTGCAATCTCCGGTGGCCCAGCACACTTTGTAAACCGCCAGTCTTGCCCTGGGTGCCCCTCCCCTTGCAACACCACTGGCAAGGCCCCTGAAGTTTGCATCGGCTACCAGAGCGCCAGCAGCAGTGGAGGCTGTGTGCGTGCCATGCCCAACGGCGTCTCTCGCAGACATGAACTCATAGATGTCGGTGGTGTTCATCTTCCCGTACTCGGCTTCATACCCTTTGATGTACCATTTCGCGCCTATTATTTTCCTATCCTATCATGAATTTGAAGTCACTACCAGGACAAACCCACCAGTAGAATTCTCCCCCTCTTATTTAAGACAGTGAAAAAATCTTTTGCAGGCAGAACAGTAAGGTGAAAGAAACCCAAGCGCGGGGCCAACCTGTTGCAGTTGGAAACACTGAACCTGTCTCCGGCGACGCATTGCCCTTTCCACCGCCGCGGAACCTCGCCGATGCCGTCGTCTCTGAAACTGGCCGACTCTGGCCATATTCCTGCAAAGTGCAAGCCACCAGGATACCTCAGTCTTCGAATTGAAATATCAGTCCTAATCCCAGTTGTTACTAGTAACTTTATACTAAAAGAAAAAAAATAATGAAGGGAAATCGCCTCACCAGTGTCTAGTACACCAACAATGGAATCCTCACCGAATCTACTCTCTGAGAGGATTCCAACCGAATGCGACGGATTCACTCGCATGAAATCCCAGCTCCTGGTGGTGTGCAGGTCAAGAACACGATTCCGCACCACTCGCACAACCCCAGGCGAATCTTTGATACCACAGTTCAAATTGAGCCAGAACACACAGGAGAGCAGCAGGGGTTTTGTCAACATCACACACACACATATGGAAGCGAAAGGTCTGGGCAGAACGAGACACGAGACCAGTGAAGTGTGAGCTCACCGGCGAGCCGCGCCGCCTGGCTGTCCGTCAACACGGCGGCGAACCCGGAGAAGCCGTGCCTGTAGCTGTAAAGGATGGCGACCTTGGCCGCCTGCTCGCTGCAGAGCTCGACACCGTGACTCGTTAGGGGCACGGGCATCGTGGATACTAGTCAATCGGCAGGACAGGCTTGGAACCAAAGCTAACGAGTGGTGGCCTCACCTGCCAAGAAGGGCGGCGAGCATGCCGTGGTGCGAGTCCCGGACCAGCGCCGGGTGCAGCTCGGGATTCCTCTCCCCCATGTACACAATGTACACCTGCAGGAAACGGAACCGCATCATTCAAGGGGGGAACCACTCGTGGATCGGGAAGCTGAACCACCAGGGCACAGGACTCCGTTCAGGCTCACTCACATTGCTGCAAGAAGAGGGGCCGAGCTGAAGCAGCAGCATCAGCAGGAGGAGGAAGACGCCCAGCAGGGCAGCCATGGCCGCCGCCACCACCAGGCAGCACGTGCGAGCGAGGTAGCTAGCAGGCCGCCGGCAGCTCAAAGCAAGGCGAAGCTGGCGCAGGTGGGAAGGGAACCAGAGTGGAGTGGTTTGAAAGGGGAGGAGGAGGCGCTAGAAGGGTTGGTGTGCCGCCTCCTCCTCAAGAACCAGAGTGTTGCAGTTGCAGCGCGGATTGGTTTGTTTACTCTTTGTTCTCCCGTCCTGACGCAGCGACGTGCGTGCTCCTCGCCTCAGCCAGTCAGTCGGCCTCTGTTTATCTAGGGGCTTGTTTAGTTTCGGGGGGCATCAGGTGTTACGTCGTCGTATGGGTGTTTGATACTAATTAAAAAAATAAATTATAGAATCTATCGTTAAATCGTGAGATGAATTTATTAAGTCTAATTAATCTGTCATTAATATATGTGTTACTGTAGTACTTTTATTGTCAAATCATGGATTAATTAGGCTTAAAAGATTTATCTCGTAAATTAGTCGCAATCTATGTAATTAGTTATTTTTTAATCCATATTTAATATTACGTGCATGTGTCAAATATTCGACGCGACAACGCGTAAAGTTTTAGAGTGAAAGGCCATGTTCGTCTCTTTTATAATTAATACTTTTTAACTTTTTTTAAGCGGAACAGTTCTTTTATAATCAATACTTTTTAGCTTTTTTTTTAAACGAAACAATATTTTTCTCTCGTAACAAATTCACTTGTTTTTTTTCAGCGAAGAATGACCTGAACAGGGCTTAATGACTGACCGGTGTCATCCTCGTCCATCCTCCTCTGCTGCCGTCTGCCAACAATTAAGCTGTGTTCTCTCTGCGCGCCCCCCGGTGTGGTCATGCGGTGTTCGGCCAAACGCGTCGTGCTCGTTGCCCGGTGTGGCGGCGGCGGCGGCGGCGCCGTGGCCCGTGGTGGAGGGTTTCGGTCCCTTCTCACGTTGCTTTCTCCGCATTTTCGTGATGGGTGGAAGGAAAATTTTTACTACTAGTACCAGGAGAGGTTGCGTCGATTCGAACGTTGCGTTAGGCTCGCCGGCACCTACCCGAGTCCCCACTCCCCACCAAGCACTTGCTACAGTGTGTTTTTTGGAAGGAAAATGTTGTTGCAGTGTGTGTGGGGTTGAGTGGCTTTTGTTTATCTTTCTTTTTGCTTGCAAGTTAATTTTGGGGCTTTCTCGGGATCTTGCTTCCCTGAAGCCTGAAGGAGATGTGCCCGACAGGTCCATGGAATCTCTCGACACATGGACGGGTTATAGGATCGTTGCTTCGTGAGCGTCGGACCACACGTGTGATCATTGCCAACTCGTTTGCCGCTTCTCCTCTTGCTTTGCTTTGGAAGAAACGCTAACCTCCAAGCAAGCGGTACGAAGGCCTTTGTTCTTATTAAAAAAACACTAAAACATTGGATGATTTAAAAAGAATAGCGCTAAGCACAGCCATTTAGTATACTGCCTTGGTCCAAAAATGATGCAATTCCACCTCTATCCATAGTTCAACTTTCTACGGTTTGACTAGGATTATAGAAAAAATATATCAATATTTATAACATAAGATAAGTGTATAATGAAAATATATTTTATAACAAATCTAATTACGCTTATTTGGTATTATAAATAATGATAAGTTCTTATAAAATGTGATTAAACTCAATATAATTTGACGTGATCAGATGCTGGAATTGTATTCTTTTCTCGATCAAATACCTTCAGTGTGCCCACAACACTAGCTTTTAGTCAGGTAATGACCAATTCCAAAAATTCTTGGACTTAAATATATACCATGACTCTTTTTATTTTTGAGAATTATACCATGACTCTTTGGATTCACTTAAGCGTGAAACGGCGATCGAGGAATGACCAAATATGGACCAAGAAGATTATGATCCTTTGCATAGCAAGGTCCACTAGATCTCTTTTCTAACAAATTATTTTGCTATTCTTCTTCTTCTTCATGCAAGCACAACCTCACAAAATGTTGTTTGAATCTGCATTATTTTGCATAGGTCTGGGATAGTGGGATCTGGTCATCCGGATGAAGAGGTTACATTACACTAAGACTCTGTTTGATGTAGATATTGAAGACGTTGGCATTGAATTGGATACAATACCAAATCAGCCTTGTATTGGAAATGGCTTACAATGCCAAAGCTATTGTTTGGATGAACACATAATTGACCCATCTTCTCCCCCATCTCCACCGCACTACCAAACCTTTCCTGTAACTAAAGAGGAAGAAGGAGAGACCGCCGGAGCCTAGGGAAGAGGAACGCGGAGCTAGGGAAGAGGAGCGCCGGAGCCGGACCAGCAGAGGCGTCGGGCTTAGGGCGCACGCGGAGAGGGAGGCGTCGGGCTTGGGGCGCACGCAGAGAGGGAGGCGTCGAGCTTGGGGCACACACGCAGAGGGAGGCGTCGGGGAAACTCGATCGCGGCCATAAGGGAGCTCGACCCCGGCCATGGGGGAGCTCGACCCCGGGCATGGATGTGCTTCCACAACTGCTCGCGCATGCGGAGGAAGAAGGGGCGCCGAATACATAGGAAGAAGGGGGAAGAAGGCGGCGTCGGATGCAAGGTCGCCGGATGCTGAGGAAGAAGGGGTCGCCGGCCATGGAGGAGCTCGAGCACGGTCACATATGCGCGCATCTCCAATTCCCCCCAATACGGAGGGTCCGAGCTCTGTATTGCGGGCGACGGGAAGCAGGTGTAGCGAATACCTATTTGGCATTGAAGTTGATTTCCAATTCCAAACTTTAAACCATCCAGGGACATTTTGTGCTATACAATGCCAATGCCAATTCTAGAGCCTCAATGTTTACATCCAAACATAGCCTAAAATACTTCCTAGTCAGTAGATCATTGGCCCCAGGATATACATTCTCAAGAAGGGAACATTCCAATGTCCACTTGGATCTTCACTGTAACAGATTTGGTAACATCGGATCAAGTAAAATAAGCAGAGACGCACTACAGAGACAACCAGTTGACAGAGACTTGCAAGATACAGAGACAACCAGTTTTACGTAAATCGAGACATTATAAGCGTGGAGTGGTAACTTGAAAATGAACTAGAATCGGGAAAAACAGTTTTTCCTGGCTTCAAAGCATCAGTGGGCGCCTCTTTAGCATCAGTGGGCGCCTCTTTGACCTTTTGGTGCTGAGGCGCTGAGCAATGGCCTCTTTCATTTTTTTTAAGAGAGATAATTGTCGGGCCTGCTTTGATGCTTTCTCGCTTTCGAACTTTTACTACAGCAGCACACGTCGCTAGATTTCGTCCGCCTTTTAAACGTTCGTTCAAACCCCAGGCATCTTTTAATGGCGTCAGGTCGTGATTCGTGCGTGAATCATGATGCCATGTGTTTGCTGAGCCCTGAACCCCTGATGAGTGGCAGCAGCCAGCAGGAGCGTGGACCGACCGGCAGTGCGCCGCAGGGCCGCAGGCGCAGGGCAGGAAGGAGCCGCCGTCTCCCGTCCCCTGATCCGCTAGAGAAAGGGATGAGAAGAGCAGGAGATCACCACAGGGTCCGGGGGACACCTCTCTTTGCAAGACTACGGGGCTGCTTGCCTCGTGTCTGAGAAAGGTCGAATAGAAAAGTTGCAGCCTCTAGTACAGAGTGGCAGCGTCAGATATTTTCAATGGATACGGTACCGACGGTGCATGTCCTGCTTCAGGTCAATGCTCAGAGTAATGTCTCGTGAGTGAACACTTTTCGGAGTGGCATGACACCAGCCAGGAGCACCCAGCACCTCGCCAGTTCGTAGCTGTACGTAGCTGCCTGAACCTTGATCAGTTTCGCTGGGTTTCGACTCATCCTAACCCAACTTGATTAGGACTTAAAGACTTTGTTGTTGTTGTTATAAATATTAATGTTTGATCAATCTTAAAAGTTTAACTTTGGCCTGTTTAGATTGTTATAAATTTAATGTTTGATCAATCTTATTGTCCAAAACCAGTTTAACTTCCAACTCTAGTTTACTGTTCTACATTGTTTGGGATGACCGAGGATTGTTTGAGACCGAGGGATAGTACTGTGCTGTTCTCCGGATCAAATGCAGAAGAGAAATTCAGAAAACGCCCAGCTGGCCAGCTGAGCCACGTTCCGAGCACGCCGAACGGGAGGCAGGGAGGAGCGTGGGGGCGGTGGCAGTAGTAGGTGAGGCATTTACTGGGCACGGATCTTTCATGCGACTCATGTGACGTGATGTCATGTTAGGCTCACCGTCGGGTCGGGCGTCCCGTGCCGCGCCGTGCGCCCGCCCGTTGGCCGTTGTCCCCGGTGACGACGAGTCGACGACCACACGGAGAACACGCCGCACTGGATGTGGCTGGTTTCTCTTCAGGTTTCAGCTGTAAAATCTACTCTTGGGGTGGTAGTAGATTTGGATGATCTAATATCTAATTAAGCATTTGTTTATCCCATTCCCATGATCAATATAGGAGTAATGTAAACAAGACCAGATCCGGTGCACTCGCAGCTGGTCTCACTCCGCGCCCGTGCGCCGTACCTGTGACTGTGAGTCGTGAGATGAGATGAGAGCTCTGAGTGCAGTACAGTGACCGGAGGGCATGTGGGTGGTGGGTGCGTGGATCTGGCAGCGCAGACGACCGTTCAACCCTGAAGGCATTCAACGAGGGCAGCAGGCTAGAACTGAGCAAAGCAGGGCAAGGGCCTGTTTGATATACTACCTCAGTCCCCAAAAATACATCTATGAGTCCCGTGTCAGTTAGAGTGGTTTTATGTTTGATAAAGTTTCTAGTAGATAATATTTATATTTATGGCTCTAACATAATTTATTATAAAAATGCATTTTATAATTTATCTAATGATATTTATTTAACATTATAAATATTTATACTTTTTTATTTATAATTAATCAAACTTGATATACTAAAATATAACACTGTTCTAGAATTACATTCTCTTGAAGGACGGAGAGAGCATATACTAATAACAAAACTAAAGTTTAATACCTACTGCCTCCTTCCTCCTCAGTCGGTTCTAAATTAAAAGAAATTTAAATTTTTGTACATATTTTTTTTTATATATCTAGACATAGTGCATATCTAAATACATAACAAAAGATAAAATATTTTATAATTTAGAATGGAGGAACTACTATAAAAGATGCCATTTTCAAATATTAAATAAAACAATCTTAAATTTAACAAAAGTTATATAAAACTATACTAATACTTAGCGTACCAATAAGTATAGCTAACTTTATGATAAGTTTTCGTAATGTACCTTTTTGGAGTTATAAAAGTTGATAATATTTACTATAAATTTAGTCAATTTATGATAGTTTGACTTGACGAGACTTAGAATTGCATCTTTTGGCAATGAAGGTAGTGAAGTTTAATTCTAGATCGTCCAACTAACAAAGGCACTTCCAACTCAGAAACTAGATGATTTCTATGGGCACCAGATCATCTCCAAGAGTCTTTTAAAATTTACTCTCTAAATCATCATTCAAAAAGTCATTTGAGTAAAAATCGTTTTCTATATCTTTGTATCATCTAACAGCTTTTCTATAGCTTGTGCGCACTCTAGAGATCCATCCTCGCTGTCCATCTTTAGCTAACGAGTAACCCGGAATTGAGGATGTCTATAGTTGGAGATCCATTTAAAGATATCGTTAGAGTATTTTTTTCACCAAAATCTCTATTCCTATAAATTAGACGAGATATAAAGAGTCTCTGGGAGTTGTTCTTATGTGTCAACTAAACAAAATGATAATGTGTCATTGTAGTTATGAAGAGAGAAAATAAAACAATTTTTATATAGAAAACTATGTTACACGAGAATAAAGATGTGAAGAGATGTAATTAGTACATGATATAAGAGAGAAGACATTTGAGTATGCAAAATTTAATTCTGAAGAAACTTTCCATTGTGAATGTGGTTTCTATATTTGTAGTGTCTACTTATCTTCGTAAGCATGGAAACCATTTCATAGTTTCTGGACTATGACTACCCTAACTAGTTCACTAATTAACAAGAATTAGTTCTAATAACGAGTGGACTAATATCTAGTTCTATGTAATCTGAACATACCCTAAAAGGAGCCCATGGATTAGTTCTAATAAGTAGTGGACTAATATCTAGTTCTATGTAATCTGAACATACCTGCTTGGCTGAGTAAGAGCACATTTACTGATTCTTTACCCTCCTGCTTATATAAACTTTATTATAATCCATCGTGTGTTCAACAAACACCCCAATTGATAAGCTTGTATCCAAAAGCCCCAGCTTATATGTTCCTAAAGCTACTAAGGTACTAGTAACTTATCTTCAGCATCTTATAAGCTGGATTATATAAGCTGAGAGATAAACAAACAGGTCCTAAAGCAATGAACGATTAATCTATATTCATTTCGAACCTAGTGAACAAGATTTATTTCCTACCTTTCAGTAAGGCGATCTATTTCGTACCTTTCAGTAATGCGATTACCATTCGCAACTATTATGAACATGAGATGTGACTCTGAATGTGAAAATTTAAAAGAAAAACGTGTCGCTTAAGTGACAACGAGCAATATCATCGTCTTCCGGTTAGCAACAGGAGAGTGAAAATTCTTTCGCCCCTTTGAACTGCACTGTGACTTGTTGACATTGTTCATCAATACACCAAACGAAATCTGATTTTCGCTTCAAACAAGCAGCAAGTTATTTGCATGTACATATGCAGCCGTAAATTACAAGATTATGCAAGTAAAGCAAAGAAAGTTGGCATCCCAGAAAGGCTCCATTTTTTAATCAGTGACGAAACTGGAGCTGCTTCTAAATGGGACTAAGATTTGGATCGACTCAGGTAGTCCTTATGTAAGGTTTTCCAGCAGTAAGCCATTTCTTCAGCTCTCAACCTGAGCATAGATGATCCCTCGACATGGCTACTACTTTGGTGGGCGCCGATCGGGGTACAATATGTCCTGAATATTTTCCTTGATATAATGGGCTGTTTTGTTTAGATTCTTTGCAACACCTGAAGCGACCAGTCCAGCACTCCTCTTAAACCTGCACCATCCATATACATCAGAAAGGCAATATATCGAAGTGGGGGCTGGGGACCAAGAAGAGATATGAACAGTAACTTTCCTTTCCAAGAATTCCTGCCTCGACAAGTTTGCAGGTCTCTGTTGTCCTTGTTGGTGAGAGCGGGTGGTAGCTGCTGCTAAAAGAAACATGGAGACATTACTGTGATGAGTTCAGTCTCCACAAAAGATCAACACCAGAAACGGTTCACTGAGAGCAAGAAAAACAAGAGACCAGAAAATAAAAATAAAACCAAAACCAAAACCTTCAGGATGACAGATCATTTTGACTAAACACCATAACAACATGGCATAATAGTATAGTAGTAATACAACCAGTTCCTGTCTGCATTTATCAAATGAAAAGAAATGATCCTACGTACTATATCATATTTGGCTATAACACTGCAGCTGGTTTTTGTTCAAAGTATAGTCCATGTCGAACCTAATGTACTCAGTAGGAACAAATCATTCCATCTTTAACATAGGATCACCGGAGATGAAATTAGAAGAGGATGAACCAGTAGATATATAACATCAACAGAAAACTTCACATACCATCCTTTGCAACATGTGCTGGAGCTTGTTCAGCTGTCGATGGTTTTCTCTCAACCAATCTGCTGTCCACCAATAACTGCAGGGACATTTCTCACTCCTGTTAGGACTGTGCACATAAGCTTATCATATGAGAAGCTTCAACAAATAGAAAATGTATGGTACACCTATTAGTGAATCCTAAAAGTTACATGTACTATTAGGAGGTAGAAAGTTCGTTCATTGCATTCAAAGAGCACAGCATTCTCAAGAACAGAATCTGACAGCAGAGCATATGGAGCTTTTTTTTTTTGTTACCATTTCTTCGTATTCAGTGGGATTGAACCAAAGGATTCGCAGGAGTCATATGTGCTGATGAATCTTTTCAGGGTGATTAGGAATCAAAGCAGTGATTCTTTGTACTGCATGAGGCAGTCAAAAGGTGACATCAAATTACAGGGTTAAATCAGGATTGGGTTTTTTTTTTCATATGGTGACGATGGTGCTGGTGGTAGGCAGAAAAAAAAAACACTCAAAAGGAGGTCAAGACTAAATAAAAATGTCAATATAAAATGGTTACCAGCGGAGAAAAAAGAAACTTTCACAAGGAATAGCAAACATAAGGGCGACAGTAATGGAATGTCCCTCCTACTAGGAGGGTAACAAAACCTGTCTCTCCTTGTATGGTTGTATATGCACTAGCATAATCATGCATCCATGTAGTTAATCATGGAATTAGTGTCCATAAATCTTTCTAAACTACAAACACTGTTCCTACATGAGATATGTGGATTGCTGATTTGTCAGAATATCGACAAATCTTCCATGAAGGGAAGGATGCAGAGAGATACTCATTGGTCAGCCCATTATTTTGTTACACTACAACAAAATCTGAAGAAATTCGTGGCCCTATACTATGTTCTAATCACTCACTACATATACTGTGCTATGTTTCCTAGATATGAAATTTAACAGAAACAAATGAGATACACACCCTGGCAGCTGCATTGGGCCATTGGCCAAAAAAAAAGTAAAAAGAAAATCTGCTAAGTTCAGAGATTCTCAGATTGTAAAAGGAGAGGAAAACCAACCTCGAGGCCCCTACAATACGGCAGCAACGTCCTGCCCTCGCTCTCACCACCCTGGCCGTCCCTGTTGTCGACGAACATGGAGTAACCCGCGCACCCGTACCTGAACCGCCTGAGATCATGCCCCTGCGCCGTCGCCTCCTCCTTAGGCTCATCCACCACGTAGTTAGGAACTAACACACCAAATCATCGATAACCTCATGAGATCTTCGGATCAGGCGTAAAGCCGGACTTTTTTTTTCTTTCAACTTTCAAAGAAACAAAATCGTATCCAAAAGTAGACAAATTTGTGGATTGGGCCGCAAATACCAATCGGGTTAGGGTTTGTGACCTTGGGGGATGGAGCGGGGGATCCCAACGCAGATTGGGTTGTAGCCGCGGGACTTGAGCACTGACGAGTAGTAGAGGCATCCCTTGCACGACTTTCCCTTCCGCGGCGGTGCCGTACCAGAGGCGCCTCCGGCAGCCGCGGCGCCGGACTCCGGCGATGCCTCCACCATCTCTCTTTTCCCCTCCGTCCTCTCCTACCTCCGTGTCGATCTGACCTCTGACGGGTGACGGCGAAATTAGCTATCGAAGGGAGAAAACCGTGCTGGCTGCCATGTGGGACCGCGACTTTGCGCCTTGTAACCTTGTTGCTTACACCCAGCGAACCGATAGATCCGCATCACAGGGCTGGCAAAGAGTCCTAGCCCTTGTTTAGTTCCGCCGGTTCGGCGCCGTCCGGATCACTGTAACACCTACAGTGTCAAATTTAGTATATTTCCTCTTGTCATTGACCCATCCATCTCCGTTCCCGCGCAAGACGCAGGTGCGGTCATTAGTTTTTGATTTCCACGCTTTAATTTTCAACGTATCGCATGATTAATTTCGGTTTGTAACAGATAAATTCAGATTTTGAGCAACTAACCAGGCCCCTAGATGCACTCATGTTGTACTTTTGCACGTAGCACCCCTGTCAAAGCGATATTTCCTCTTCCGATCCCATCCATCTCCTCCCCGCGCAAGACGCAGGTGCGGTCACCGCATCCCCACGCTTTGTTTTCAACTTGATTAATCTCGGTTTGTAACAGATGTTGTAAAGATAGTTTAGCTACCATCGGTGGAGGTTTAGGAGTTGGTGATTCAGACTTGTTTATGGATCATGCACCGAACTTTGTAATTCATAAGTCTGGAACCAACTAAAATATAAGCCTTGTTTTCGTGACTCTAGAGTGATTTTGGTGAGAATTAAATATAGTGCAGCTAAATGAAGAAGTAATTCTTGTCTCACCTCTACTAGAATGTATGCGTAGCTTTGCTGTTCAACTGAGGAGGAGTAATTCTCAAAGATAATCTGCTCTGAGAAGCTCTGCCTAATGCCCCATAGATCTTCATCAACTTTGTTCCTCACCAAGACATGTGCTTCGTGTGGTTGGACCTCGTCACCGATTCGGCAAGGCACCTAGCCCTCACCACCACCTTCGTCATGAAGTCTGTTGTCAACAACAATGTGGTCAGACTCAACCCATCTAAGTTGGTCATGCCATTACCGACAACATCTCTAGGGTTTGCCACCGTCAAATAATTACCCACCTCCATGATTGTGAACACATAAAGTAACCCATTAATTTGTATTTAAATCACCCATTTATGCTATTGTTACAAAACATCATATAGAGCAACCATAAATTTACATGTAATACCCTTTGTCATTATAATAGATAAGTACTTATCTCTTAAATTTTCTTCAAAATTACCACTTATGTAGTTATTAAAAAAAGAGTTAAATGCATGAGAGGCCCTTGAACTTGTCACGAGGTGTCACTTAGGTCCATGAACTTGTAAAATGCATTTTGGGTACTTAAACTTGCTGAATGATACACCGTAGGTCCATATTTACCATGTGGGCATTTTATCTGACGTGGTTGTTACCATGTGACGGGTAAATATGCAGGGAACCCCCTGAAATCTAAATGGAATATCCCCAACAGGGCATCTGGGTTCTGTCCTCGCCAAGCCATTGAAAGGTCCTTGTTTGGTTTTGGTAATTGAGTGACAACCTAGGTGGACTAATTGTGTTTAATGTGAGATACACATGTGATTAGTCCACAGGTACATCATGTGTGAGCAACCTTTGCTATGGAGGTGAAATGGCATAGAGATGTTGCAAAGCTCACACATGTGATGATGGAGCTCATTACATATGAGACATGGCATGGAGTAATGTGATCAAGGTGGAGAAGATCAAGATAAGACTTAGCTCGATGGACCGGTTGCAAGTGTGAAGGGTAAGTTGAGTGATGACTTGGCGCCGATGGACCGAAGCAACGGTGAAGAGCAAGTGAAGTCAAGATCGATGAACCAATACGGTCACGTGATGATATGAAGTGGATCATATTATTTGGTGATTGGTTGGTGCATGTGTTGCATCAACAATGGAGGAGATGGAATAGAATGCGTAAGGCAAAGGTATAACCTAGGGCATTTTATTTCACCGGTCATAGGTGTGTAGAGAAGTTTATGACCGGGTTTAGGATAAATGGCCGTACTATCAAGAGGAGCAAACTTGTTTGCATATCGATCATCTAGTGCCACTCGAGCGATCTAACTTTGTGTACGTGTTAGGATCGAGTGGCGTGGTGAAAAGAGTGCTAATCCTTTGAAAAAGGTTTGTGAAAAGCTAACACACATGCACAAGTTGGTGAACACTTGGTGGTGTTGGCACAATTGCAAAGGAGAAGAAGTTGGTAAAGAAAAGAAGGCAAAATCGGGCTCGGGGTGCTGCCTGGGTGGCACCGCCACCCCATGTCCGGTGGCACTGCCACCCCTAGAGCGGTGCCCACCTGGCCTTAGCCGAAAAGGTGTGTTGGGGTTAGCACCGTCGTGCCTTGTCCGGTGGCACCGCCACCCCTAGGGCAGTGCCCACCTGGCCCTGGTTCAGAGTAGCAGTAGTGGAGGTGGTCATCGCCGGTGATGGTGTACACCACCATGTGCAGGGCATTGCACCGCCAGGGGACGTCTGGTGCCACCGCCGCTTTCTTCCCGAGGCTGGCGAGTTTGGACCTGAGCATAGGGGGTCGCCGCCATGGTGACGGTGGTGCACCGCCCTAATTTTCTAGAGAGTCGGTGTTTCACGTAGTTGGCCAGGGGGTCACCACCACCCCTATGGCGGTGCACCGCCCCTAGCTATCCAGTGTTGGAATTCGACCGTTGAAAGGGGCACCGCCGTGTCTAGTGCCAGGCACTGCCGTGTTTGGTGCCCTCGCAGAAACTAACAGCTTTGCTCCAACGGCTCTATTTGGCTTGGGGGCTATAAATAGAGGTGGAGCTCGGGCTTGGGCTGGTTGCTGAGCACCCTTAAGCCTTGGTGGCTTGTGTAGGTGTGCTTGGGAGCCCTCCAACTCAATTGTGCTTGCAAGAGTGCGATCCGATTGCAGTGAGTGTGATTCTAGTGCCTTGCATCATGAGGTTGCATCGAGTGGCACTAGGTGATCGAGTTGCAAGCCAGTGGTGCTTGTTACTCTTGGAGGTTACCACCTCCTAGACGGCTTGGTGGCTTATGACTTCATTAAAGCACGCAAGAAGATTGTGCGGTGCTTCGGAGGAGGATTTTGTGAGGGGAATTGTTCTCACCCCTCGGGGATCACGAAGAGCAACTCTAGTTGAGTGTGTCATTGTGCTACCCTCACTTTTAGGGTAGGTTCTTGTGGTGCCAGACATGTGGGCTTGGCGGGTGATGCCAATTAGCCGCCGAACCACCAAGTGAGTGGTCAACACAATGGGGACGTAGCTTGGTGGCAACCAAGTGAACCTCGGGAGAAAATCACCGTGTCAACATTGTCTTCATCATCTTCTCGGTGGTTTGCATTCCCCGCAACACAAGCTTGTACTTATATTTTATACATTGTGCTTGTGTAGTTGCTCTTGTAATTAGTTAGCTTGTGTAGCTTGCTAGTTACCTTCTTGCTTGTGTAGCATAGAAGTAGCTCCCTTGCGTGACTAATTCGGTTTGAGTAACATTGTTAGTCACATTGCTTAGTTTGTGTAGCTAAGTAATTTGCGCTCTCTAATTTGGCTTTGTGTAGCCTTATTATTGAGCATTGCTAGTGAGCTTAGGTGGCTTTGTGCATTTGCTTACTAGATTGTGTAGGAGCTCCCTCGGTTGTGTGAAGTACTAATTGCATAGGTTTATGTGACCTTGCAAGCTAGAATTGTTAGGTGAGCTCTAGCTAGCCCAGCACCTTTGTTTCCTATTTAGGATCTTTGTAAGGTGCTTGAGAACTTTGATAGAGGGGTACAGTCTTGGCTAGACCGATAGTTTTAAATTCCATATTCATTTCGGTTAGCCGGTGCGATTAAATTTAGAAAGGACTATTCACCCCCCTCTAGTCCGCCATCTCGACCCTATAGACATGCACGCCACCTGTTTGGTGCAATGCCGCAAAGTGCTACACGCGTTGTCCACCGCGCCTCTGTTGCACCTTGCCAGGCGATGTACATGCCGCGCTCGCCCTTGGCCACATTGCGTTTGCACCTCGCCTTCACCTTCAAAGCCGAGCCAAGCCTGTGGACGTCGTTGCTATTATCGTAGGACCAGAGTCACTGTGTGTCGGGTTCATAAACCCGGGGTCCCCAATGGACCCGCTTTCCTATAAAAAAGCTCGGCCTAGCAGACGGCATCGTGACAACGCACGCCTCCCGGGCCAGCCCAGAAACATAATGATAGGCCGGGGCAACGATTCGATCCCCGATTGGAAGACCTGGCCAAGGTAGGGACACAATCCGACTCTAGCCTCCTTTTCTGACCGGGGATACACCGGACCTCTGCCCACGATTCTTCCCCGATCGACACGGCCGGGGCCGACTGGGAACGACCGACCAGGGACACCCACTCGGTGAGGGCCCGGGGATCAGGCGGAGCAGATAAGGTAAGGCGCTCAAGTCAAACGCAATACCAAGGACCATACCCTGCCATGCCCTGTGCACCTTCAGGACGGTGCCACTAGGTCATGTCAGACGGGCACTATGCAACCTTCTAGGCGTGTTAGAGTACAAACTGTATTGTAGGCGCCGATGTTTGCCATACCAGGCGAACACGGTAGAGCCTGTCACATGCGTCTGACATAAACAGTATTATGGGCGCCGACGACCGTCTCGTACCCGACAATGTGGGCAACAAGACTAGGTAGCACACGTATCCATTCTCTCTTTCTCTGACTTGTAAGATCATCCCCTTCAACTATAAAAGAGGATGCACTCACTCCTCTCTGGAGGAGGTTCTCTTGGCTCTCAAAACAAAAAAGGCTAGACGTTCTCTCTGGCTCTAGGCAACCTGAGCACTCGAATAGCTCAACGGTTCTAGAACCCCCCAGCTACACAACGCATACGATCCAATACTTAGCGCACGTTAGAGCATCCATCACTCTCACCATTCGGTCCAGAGCCTGACCGGGCCTCTAACATCCCCCTTCTCATTCCTACTCGTTTGTAACCCCACAACAAACTTTGAACACCTGGG